ATACTGCCTCCAAATAAACTATAATAAAAAAAAGATAACATTTACATAGCACTTACTATGTTCCAGGCACTGTGCTAAGTGCTTTACAAATATATTATTTGATCCTTATAACAATCCTGGAAGGTAGGTGCTATTATTACCCCCATTTTATAGTTGAGGAATCTGAGGCAAAGAGATATGACTTGCCCAGGGTCATACAACTAAGTATCTGAGGCAAGATATAAACACAGGTCTTCTTGATTCTGGTCCACTGCTCTATCCATTGTGCAAAAACACTGCAAAGGTAGGAAAGGGGCAAGGTTATGAAGAGCTTTAAATGCCTGAGAACTTTATATTTGATTCTGAGGCAAACAGAGAAACACTGGAGTTTATTGAGGAAGGTGAGGAAGATGGGGAGTATGGTGGTGGGAGTGATCTGCTCAAACCTATATATTAGAAAAATCTCTACTAAATGTTAATTCTTAATCCTGAATGTTCTTTTAGGAACTTTTAAAAATACATGATGTTATTTTAACTATGAAAATAGCATGAGATATTTCATTTAAATGAGACAGCATTAACCGATTTTTCATGGAACGTTTCCAGACGCAAAGTGCAAAGGAAGGTCTGGCAACGTGTTTAGGATGTTAACCTGAAATTCCCAGGAACACCAGTTTTATATACAGGTGATACCTGCCTAATGCTAGCAGATCCTTCATCTGTACAATGTTATGACTAACACTGCTGTTATCTAACACTAATCATTAATGTCTTATAATTTTTAAGAATGGATCATATCCCTGAGAAAAAAGCATGATAGTTACAAAGAACTTTAGGGAGTCACCTGGGATCAGCCCACTTGCTTTCAGAAATGAGGGCTTAAATCACCCATGACAGATGGTTATCTTGAGTATTTTTAATGATTTTTATAGATGGTGATTGCCCCTGGCAGTCCGTGTCAGTGTTTAATGATTCCATTGATATGATCTTCTGAAGGATCAAATCAAACCTACTCTTCTGTAACCTAAATCACATTCTTTTCCCTGGTGGAAAGAAAACTGTTTAATGTCATCTTTCTAATAATGCTAACATAGTCTGAGGTCCCCTAAGGGAGGGAGTGTATCTAAACTTTGTACCCTACCATACTGCTCATTATACAATGAACATTTAATGTTTCTTGCTGCTTATTGTAATGGATGAATTATGACTTTCAGGTCACTTAAAAAAAAAGCAAACTTTACATATTCTAGTGCATATTGCCTATGAAAGTTATCATCTCATGAACTTAAGACATTTTGGATGTCTTTTGGAATTGTCTCACTACTTAATAGTGACAGATTGTATTTTAAGCTCAATTATATTTATTATCCAGACTAATCCATTCATTTTATTTTCTAGATTTGGTCCTTCAAAGGATGAACACGTCATCATTTGAGATAACTTGGAAGAATGTGCCACATGAGTACTAAGGGGATTACCTAGAAGATGACATCTTTATAGTCATTTCAGTATGTTGGTTAAGAATGTCATATTTCAAAAAATCAATCCCATCCATTGTTTTTGGTTTACATCGTGTATTTGTAGAGTCTCTTCTTTTCTTAAGGCTAAGAAGCCTGACTCCTTTGATCTTTTCTTGATTTCAAGACTTCATGGGCTACATGCTTTTCATAATGTATAATAAACATAAGGTGTTTTGTAAACTTCGATGTGCTACATAAAGTTACCTATTACTCTTTACTTCTGGCTTACTGTCCATTCTGTTTCATCACCACCCCAGGAATTGGGCTGGGCATGATCCCATTCTGAGGCCGACTCAATGATTAGTGAATCTCTGCCTAGAAGCACCCTATCATGAGCAGGCCCAGCCATGATGCTCACTCTTCATTTCCCACTTTTGGTTTACTCTTGGGCCTGATCCAACTGCAAACTGGCTACCTAGCCTTCATGGGGGGTGTACTTGATTCTGAGTCCAACTCAATGATTGCCAGGTCCCTGCCATATCACAAGAATGCTGCATACTTAGGCTGTGCTACTCACTCTCCACTTTCAGCTGACTCTCTGACCTGTTCCACCACTAAGCTAGTTGCTTGGTCCCAGTGTGTGTATCTTCCCCTTTCCCCAATTTATCGTGTAAACACAATAAATGTGCCCTCTGTCTTTCTCTCTTCTCAACATATCAGCAACTGCAGATTCATGCTTCTGATAAAAGGCTGAGGCTTCTCAAGTTGATACAGATAACAAAGATATACCCCAAATAAAGAAATATAGGTTTAAGAAAGTCAGTCTTTGCAATTAATAAGGGATTTTTCATCATGGTTAGCTAAACACAGATGAATCCAAAGGACTCTCAGCTTTCTACAAGTCTCTTAAAAATGAAACAGTTGAAGCTTATTTACAGATAGAGCATTACTGATGGATCTTGGTTCAAATGTGTTTTAATATAACCTTCAATTTGCAGACTTGCTGGAGAATGAAAGTGAGAAATCAAGCAATCATTCAGACCTGGTTTTCTTAGCTCAAATGCTTGACCTAGTCTAGTTCCAGTGCCAGATTAAGTCAAAATTTGAATAGACATTCCAAGAGTTTTAATCTGTTCCAGTTACAAATCAAAAGGCCTTTTATGATATCAAACTTGCCAAATAAGATTGCATTAGACTCAATATGAAAAGTATTGGCAGGAGGATCAATGCAAGGCAGAATGCTGGACAGACATAAGGCTTTTGATGGTTAAATTCACAAACCATTTGATCCTTGGGAAAATGGCATAGAGTGTACCAGTGACTATAGATATGGAATCTTAAGTTGAAATTACAGGTATAAAACTTAATAGAAGCATCCCTACTATCCAGCATACATTAAAAACTGGACATTGCTAGGAATAAAACCAAAAGCTCAATAACATTGAAATCCTTGATTGAACAGAATTTATCAACAGAACCATTAATGTCAAATTTTCTGTCTCAGAATTTAGTGATTGCAAAGTGCTTTCCTTACATGACCTTATGAAAGCAGGTGGTACCATCACTAGGATTCCCATTTTACAGCTGAGGAAACTGAGACTCAGAGAGGTCAAGTGACTTGCCCCATGGTTAGACAAGTGTCTAACGTAGAACTCAAATAAAGGTCTCCTGATTCCAAAACCACAGCTCTATTCACTACCCCACATTGCATTGACTTGCCCTGAGATAAGAGATTGTAGAAGGCTTATAACTAAAGAGCATAGATTAGGGGCCCATATCTTTTTAATGACAGTACAACTAAATTATGAATCTTTGGTAAAGAGAAACTATGATCTATGCAAATCATACTGAGTACTTGGGGCAAGATATTGCTTTATCTCTGGGTTTGAGATCTTTACCCACAAACTGTGGTGCTGGTCAACTAGTTCAGTTCATTACAATTTGAGTTATGCAACAACTCAAAGAAATAGGCATTTATTAAATACTGGGAATAAAAAGACAACAACAAGACAGTTCCTGCTCTCAAGAAGCTTACAATCTACTGATGGATGGGGGAACAATTTGTAGATGGAAAAGTAAATCAAGTACACACACATGTAATTTTTTTTAAAGTACAAACCTGTAAGGGGGATTTCTAGTGAGGAAACAAACTTCCTCCAATAGTATCGATCTGTACTTTTAAATCATCACTTCTCTGATTGTAAGTTGCTAGTGGAAGGTAAGAACTGTGTACATCCTAACACCTTGCACATTTTTTTTTTGGATCCATAAAGACATTTAATTTATGTTTGCCAGACTGAACTGACAGATAATGTAAAAATAAATGTATTGTAAAGGATATTAACAAAATTTAAGCTTTTACTTTTCTTGTTTCTCTGAGAACAGAAAAGCTCCCCACTAGATATGTGTGTGTGTATGCCCCTACTCTTTCCCCAGGGAGTGAGGATGAAGAAATCTTTTCTGTGCCATAGTTTTAAAGAACATAGAGGTTACAGTCTATGTGAGTCCTTGTGTTTATCCTGCTACTTAAATTACTCACATTTGGCTCCAGTGACAAACACGTTCATTAATTCCAGAAGTTCACTCTATTGCTATGTGCAACAAATATTTGTTGAATGAATGAACCCTTCCTGAACATCTGTATTGCACTACTCTAGTCTGATTTGAGGGACTCCAGATGAATAAGAAACATGAAATGAAAGTTACAAGGTCTAAAAGCAGGGGTCCTCTCTGCTTGCCAGGAGTGAGGGATGAAGTCAGGCAAGGGCTTTGGATGAGAGCTTCACCACAGACTGATTTAAAACATGGGCCCTTCGAAATAACTATCAGAATTACTCATTTTTCAAGAAAGTAAAATCACTCTGGGGTTTCCTGCAGAAAAATTAACTTCTCTAGGTAATTAGGATTCTCTTCAAGATACTTATTTGATAGGGAAAAAAGAGGCCTTCAAGTACTGGTGGGAATCTTGGCTACTATGTGATGAGAAGCTAATGATTTACAGTGCTGAAAATAGTAGCACTATTCTATTTATGTTGACACATGGGCTGTTACAATCGGCACTCAACACAAAAACTTTTGTTGATTAATGAATGAGAATAGTTATAGACGACTAGTTTGAGTTACTCATTGGAATAAACTACACTTCTAAGTCCATATGTACCTTCCTTTGCTGATGACTGGTTGTAGTGCTTAGTTTGAATTGATCTTAATTTAGATTTAGTTAAATTCAACTAGCATTTATTAAGCACCTAATGTGTGCTAGCCAGTTAGGCATGGGGATACAAAGACAAAAAAAGTCCCCTTCTTCAAGAAGTTTATATTCTACTGAACCTTAGCTTCCATGCACATACTGCCTTTAGAGTTGATAAAAAAGATAATTTCTTTTCCCTTTTCACATTATTATGATAAAAATTTTTTCATCTCTCCCAGTCTCACTAATTTACCTAAATTGTCTGTTAGTTTTACTGATCTCACTTTGAATCACATCAAGGTTGCTCCTAAGCATGTCTTCTATTTTTTTTCTCCATGGGGTGAGATATACAAGGTCAGTGTTTCATCCTAGGGTGCCAGATGCATATCTGTGGAAACGGTTTTTTGTTTCTGTTTTTTTTTTTTTTAATTTTAAGATGCTAACAATATAGAAAGGTAATATAACTTACATAATGAACTTCTTTCATGGATTAGTTTTTTTTTTAATTAAACTGCTACTAGAATACAAGCTTCTTGAGGGAGGGATTGGTTTGCTTTTATCTTCGTATTTCCAGTGCATAGCAGGGGCCCTGCTGCATAGAAGATAAGTCATTAAATACTTGTTCAAGTGTGGTTATGTAATCTTCATTTTGGGGATTCAATGCACTGTCTTCCCCAAGTCCAACAACTGTCTATAAAACAATGACAAAAATGCTAATTTAGATAGGGAGATAAACTCTGCAAAGAAGAAAATCACAATTAGCATGTGAAAGAAACTTGACAATAAAACATGTGAAACATATCAACTTTGTGTGTTCACAATCATTTTAGAAAATTCTAGAGTCTAATTCCTTGTTTATTTTTGGCAAGAAAAAAATTGAATGTACATGAAATGTCTAGTTCAGAAATAGTTTTAAATTAATTTGAATCAGAAGACAAAGAATGCCTCAGATCACTTTGAAAAATCTTTCTCTATTCTTTTCACCCATAGAATACAATTTTATTCAAATAAAACTTATAATATTAATAAATATTTCATTTCTTCCACTAACTTTTATTTTGGAAAAGTTTCTCTTGTGGATGAAATATGATTGGACATGAAAAATCTGATGACTGAGAGGTGAAAACTGACTTTAAGGAGCTAAAAGGTTCTATTTCTCTATATTTCCCAATGTTATCAAGGATAGACAGATACAGAGACAGGGTTATAGAATATAAACTGTTATGTATTATGAGATAAACTAAAAATTCTAATGTTTTCTCATTATGAAAATGGGTATTTGACATTGGGGAAGAAGAGAGTAAAAGAAAAGAGGATGAAAAGAAAAACAGGTCATATGATAGAGAGGAGAAGTAAATGAGTATATTTGTCACAGGGGAGTATTCTAAACATTTTATTTCCATCAATTATAGTGTTTACATTTTCCAAAATGAACATATCCTATTCACTTGGTAATCATCATTTAGACTCCTTAGCATCCTTTCATGTCAGATTTTATTAATACTCATAACAATACTAAATTCTTAGATGGTTGCTGTGTGGGATTCACACTTAAAAGTATAAATTATACTAACAAATTAGATATCTCAGATTTATCCTATATTTTTTACACTACAGGGTTGTAAACTGTTGTAACATTCCCTAATAGTGTTGAATTTTCATTCCTCAGTGTATTTTTCACTAGAAGAAAAAAAGTAAGTATTTGTGTAAACAGTGCCATGTACAATGGTAAAGGTTAATGAATAATTTCTAAATAAAGGATACAATTTTGAATGTACACAAATTAAAATATTCTCCTACATGCTTATTCATTTTGCATTTCAAGAAACCAATGAAGACAAAATGACAAAAGGCAACTTTTTATAAGGCCACTGTGGCTAACTCTGGGTTACTAGAGTCAATACAGCAGCCACTTTTCAATTTCTGAGGTGTCTTGAGGTTAGAAGTTGATTCCACTAAGGCAAACATCAAGTAATTTCAATGTTATCCAGAAGAATGAACGGCCAGATTTCACAACCACTTCTTTCAAATGTATTGTTCAGGTCAGGTTACTTGAAAGCCAGGTCAGTCAAGGCATCAGAGACCTTGGTGTTGACCTGTGCTGAAATGCTTGCTGGGATGATATTCAGATAAATGTCATACTGCTGGTCCATGCCAAGATAGCTGTCACTCATGAGATAAAGTGTGTAGATATACCTAAGATATAAAAATAGAACAACACAGTATATCAGCAGGTCTCAAACTTTTTGATCTCAGGATTCCTTTATACTCTTAAAAATTATTGAGTACTCCCAAAGAGCTTTTGCTTATATAAATTAAATCTATTGATACTTACCACATTAGAAATTAAAACGTCTTAGTATTATCATGAAAACACCTTTGACCCCAATGACCCCGAGTGTTAGGGGACCACCAGGGGACCCTGGACCACACTTTGGAAACTACTGCTGTAGACCATTTTTTTTTGAATGAGGTACAAATCTAATTCTAAATCTTTGGAAATATTGGTTATGAAGTTCATCTTACCTTCCAGATATTTCAGGAGTATAAAAAGCAAGAGAGATAGAATTTCGATTTCTGATGTACCCCACTCTTTTCAAAGCAACAAGCTCTTTCTTATCTATTTCACCTAATATCAAAAACCACCCTTCATCCTTGGATTTGGGAAATCTAGGAGCAACAGCTTTGCTGTCTTGTTTTCCCTAGGAGAGAAGAAAAAAAACCTAAGAGTTAATAGAGTTGGAACTTTTTTCCAGCTTTCTTCTTGGTTGTGTTTAAAAAGTTTAATCTCACTTTGTCTTTTGAAAATAAAATAACAACTTACATTACATAGTGCTTTAAATTTTGCAAGGTGCAGCCTTTACAGCAATCTGTGACATAAATAGTGCCAACAGTATTATCCCCATTTTACAGATGAGGAAAGTGTGGCTATTGAAGGTTGAATGACTTATTCTTGGGCAAATGGCTAGAAAGTATCTGAGGTGGAACAGAAACTAGGTCTTCTGTCTATAAGGCTAGCATTTCTTCTATTATATCATGCTGCTTCTTAAAAAATTATACTGAACAAAAGTAGTTGGCCTTAACTTTTTCCTGTTTTATCATCTTTGAAATGATTTTGCTTAGGCTTCAGTCAAGATTTTCAAGGTAAAACACAGATATTTTTGTGGCTGTAACTATGAAGACATATTTTCACTGAAGACAGGAACCCAGAGAAGTGATCTGAAGAAACAGCAACTGGAAATGATGTCTTAATAATGGAAAGTTACTGAAATAGTTAAGTACACTTTTTTGGTATGTGACCACAGAGGGAAAAGGTCTAATGAACTTCTTTTCCCCTTTTTTGCTAGGCAATGGGGTTATGTGACTTGCCCAGGGTCACACAACTAGTGAGTGTTATGTGTCTGAGGCTGGATTTGAACTCAGGTCCTCTTGACTGCACAGCTGCTACTCTATCCACATAGCTGCCCCCTTAAACTTTTAATATTAGTGAGAACTTCTGCTAGTCCCTATAAAATCCAGTTAGTAACTAAAATGAGAGAAAATGGTTTTATCCTTCATGTATTATGCTATTAAAAACAAATTCATATGTATGAGTTTTAATATTCTTAGGGGATCAAATTAATTCAGGTTTCAGAAGCAGTGAAGAACAAAGTATTTAGGATTTTCAAGTAATTTCTGAGGTACCATATTACACATGTTGAATCCTTTGGTAGAGGACAAATGCACATGAGGAGCAATGACTATGTCAAAAGACTAGACCCTATCTGCTCAAGGCTGTCTGAGAAAACAGAATTCATGAATTACATGACAGCATTAGTCATCTAAGAGATATGCATGGTGGTGTGTGCTGGTATCTGGGGCAGAGTATTTGAGAATGGAAACTGAATACTATACCTTCTGGTACCCCATGTGGACTCTTTGCAAGTTGACCTGAAGCACATACTCTTGATCAGTGTGTAACTTGATCCATTTTTTGTCATCTCGTCCATCTGTTGCCAAAGTTGGGATACACAGTTCGTTCTGTCCCTCAGCTGAATCCCACGAGCCTTTAATGCTCAAGTCAACATCTATCACTGGCAAATGAGACAAGAAATTCCAAGCCTAAAAAAAAAAGAACAAATATGAAAGCCCTGTCAATTAAAACTGGATGATTAACTAGAAAATATTGTGTCCTGTTTTTTGAAAGCTTTATTAACATAATGAAGAGGATATATATACACTTTGGGGTCATTATCCGAATATGTGATCTTCTTACTGCTAATATTCCCTAATCAAACAGCTTATGAACTGGGATAGTTCTTTACCACGTGGCAAAATATGCTGGGTTTTAAAAGGTTGGCCAGAATACTAGAATATTTTTTGAGAATTATGTGTCCTGACACTCCTCTAACTTCTGAAGCAGAAAGCATATCTTGGGGGTAAGAATTCAGGAACCTATCATCCAACCTGAAAAATGCTCTTAATATACATCTGAAGCATAAAGTGTTATTTTTAGTTTAGTAGCAATCAATGAACATTGATGACAACGAAAGTAAATTTTTTCTGGAATTGGTTTTAGTTTTCTGAAAGGAAAGCATTTCATAGTGCCACTTGGCTGCTCTAAAAAAATGGTGCAATTTGGCACTACCTTTCTGAGAAAGCCAACAATGATGGTACATGTCAAGGCAATGGATACCAGTGAACTTTGATGGTTTCATCCGTGCTTTTTTAATTGAAAGATAGCAGTGGGAAATTAGGCTACAATTCCCATGTGAAAGAACATTGTAAAAAGGCCCCAAAGCAATTTTATAATTAATTGCTGTCTTGGTTTCACAATATTTACCGTAATGGTGGTGCCAATATCCCAATAAAACCTTTGTTTAATCACAACTTTAACAATGTCCTAAAACTTATCATTCAAGGATATGTGGAAAAAGTCTTTTTAGTTTTTCTTACAAATTTCCTTGTAGGCTCTGACTCCCTTTTCTGAGATTTTTTAGTGCTTATAAGCATATCCAATTGAAGTAAAGTAGCTTGACGAACCAAACTACCTCTAAGGAATCTAAAAAAATGTAAATCCAAGTGCTATTTTTCAGAATCATTTTACATTTCAAATTCCAGTCCTATGAGCAGTCTTGGACATCTGAAATTATGACTTGTACCATATCTTAAAGTGAAATGATCATGGCCTTGAAGCAGCCACCCATGCTGTGCTTCCAGGTTGACAATGACAGGAAGGAGCCTACAGCAGACCAGTCACTCAGTGGAAACCAAAACCAGTTGGTGTGAATTGTTCTAAGAGTGTCCAAAGTGGGAAAGGGAGCATGAGGATCTATAAATACACACATTCCTGTGTGAAATATTTAATGCTGTGAGGCAAAGCAAAGGCATTTTCTATATAAAGCGAGATTTCACCTTTCTTCCCCCCTACTCATGCCATCAAATTGGGTGCCAAGATGACAACTCCCATTTCTAGCTTGGTGGGATATTATTTCACAAAGGCAGAATAAAATTAGATTTTGTCTGTATAAGCTTTAAACCGCTATACACTTCATGTTTTTGGACATACAAAGCATACGTATGCATATTTGTGTGTGTATACATATATGTATATATGTGTTACACAGACACATATATATTTTCATGTATATAAAACATGAGCTATTTTTGAAGAAACTGCTAAGACATTTCAATACCAGCCAAACATATTTATCTGAGGATTAATCTTCATCTATTGAATCAGGCGAGAACACTGCCGTGCATACAATTATTTAATTAGCAACCAAATCCTCTGCCAGTCAGCAGTCGTTCCAGGCATACTGATGGGGCAGTAGATGCAAATCTCACAGTCGTACTGCTTTTTCTCATTACTACTGCAATTAGCACTTAAATTGATGCTTTAAACATACTAATTTCTGGAATAATTCAGGATTTGTATGTTACCTGGGATTGCCTCACAGCAGAGACGACACCAGATTGCTCTGCAAATTGAAGCACTTTTGAGCCAAATAACCATCATCGTATCAGACAGAGCCAATTTGCATTTGGTTTTAAAGATAACAGAATGGCAATTTATGCAAATAAATTAAGTAAGTTTACTTCTGAGTTCTCCCTGAACTAATTATAACAATGTTCTAATTTTTCATCACATCTAAAAGTTGGACTGAAATCAATGTATGTTATGTTAGAAATCTGTTGTTGTTAAAAGAAGCCTTGTTTTGATTTAAATAAATTGTCTTTATTTAAAATTTTGATGGTAATTTAGTTAGAATATAGACATTTATTATGGATATTAAATTTTTTTTGGGTGCCAGTTTTAGGTTCAACAGAAGCTGAACAATCAGCCATAGATTTGGACTTTTCACAACCCAAGCACAAAAATAACTTCTTAAAAAAAAAAAACCCACTAACACACTTGGTTCTAAGGTTTTCCTTTTTTCATATCTATATTTTCAATATGTCAGTATGTCAATAATATTATGAATAGTGAATGTTTATTTTGGAATATTTTAGACTAAAAACTGTTTAAGAAAAAAGCCTGTGGTATGCAAAGTCTTTCTTGACAACATGTAGTTTTCAACCTCCCAGAAAGAAACACGAAGAGATGACTCACGTCGTCTTTCAACAGAAAATAAATTCACCTTCTTACAAAAATCATACTGAGAGCAAAGCAGTGATATACATAAAGTCTATAACCTGTAAAGTAACACATAAAGTCTAACATCACTGCTAAAAGAAAAAAAAAATCTCTACCCCCGCCATCATCATAATAAAATGGAACACTGAAACTGGAAAAATGCTGATTATGCTAAAAGTTGGTTCATACTTCCCAGGTGGCCAGGAAGCCAAAATAACACATAGGATAAACTGGTGGTTATTAGGAGTAAAGAAAAATAAAAGGAACACACTATATGAAAGGCAAGAAAATGTATATGAAAGAAAAAAAAGGGAAAAAATAACACAAGGGGCTGGTAAGGGCTCTAAAAAGTTCTCATGTCTTTCCATCCTCCTGCTTCCATGTAGATCTCTAAACTATGCTGGAAAGACTCATTTAAGGTGTTAACTCTACAACTTTCCTTGGCAATGGTATCCTGGTAACAAATACCACATATGATTGAAGACATTCTCACTGATACCACCCTGTTATTTTGGAGGGAGTGCAAAACAATTCTTTACAATTGCTTCTACTCTTCAACCACAGCACACACATGGAAGAGACTGTTACCTGTGTCACATGTGCAGTCTGAAGTTCTCCATCTATAATGGAATTGAATATTTTCTCTTTTCCTTCACAAGCAGCAATTAATTCAGGAAGGCACTCGACGGGACCTTGGTAACCTCCAGGTGGACCCTTTCTTTTTCCTTGGTTCCATTTCCTGTGAATATGATCACAATGATTACAACATAAAAATTCTAGATCACCATAAATGAAGATTATCTGACAAAGAACTTGTTCTATTCAACAACAGTTAACAAACATTTATTAAGCACTTACTCTGCGGGCCAGGTACTATGCTAAGTACAGGAGATGCAAAGAAAGGCAAGAAGTTCAAATGTGGGGAGGGGGAAGAAATCATGCTTAAAAACTATGTACATACAAAATATATAGAGGGGAGATGGAAGTATGCTTTAAGACCACTGTATTATTTTTCACAAAGTTCTGACACTCATTAGAAGAAGGCTGACTACCAGGTGATGAATATTTTCAGCCACAGCAATTCATGAAGATCGTCGACAAAGGCAGATAGAAGGGAGAACATGTGTCACTGAAATTATGATCCTTGAAGTACTAAAGCAAGCTATTTGAAAGGCACTTAACCCCTGAAGTTATAAAACAACTGCTGATTATGCTACAACTACAGTGGGTGCTCAGTAAATACTTGTGGGCAATGAGCAAGTTTGTTGGGAAGTTGGTTTCTTTCTGGGTTCAAGTTTAATACTTCTGGATGTGCATTAGCTCTTTCAAGATACTTAGTAGAATTACCACTTCTTGGCATTTTTTTATGATCACAAATGGACCTCTTTGATATGATTTTTGACTAAAATCTTTAGAAAACATGAAATTAAAAATGCACTATGGGAATCTCTGGGTCATTAACAATTGTAATACCAAGAGTTTAGGACATAGCAATCCCACTTATTTAGGACAAACAAATCCTACTGTTTGTTTACATAACAAGCAACAAATGGTACAGTACCAATATTGTACCATTATACAAATCTGGGGCAGGGAGAGACTTTCGTCTGTGAGATGGGAACTGGACCTGTGAATCTTTGTTATGGAGAACTGCCCATGGACACACAGTCTATAGTATATGATAGAATTGTGAGACATGAAAACAGGTTTTCTTGACTCTGAAGTTGGCTTTTTCTTTACCATGTTACACTGCTCATTTGCCATAAGATATAATAATAGCTAGTATTTATACAGAGTTTTGAGATGTGTGAAACTCTTTACAAATATTATCTCATTTTTCCTCATAACAACCCTGGGAAGTTATCATCAGCTCCATTTTACAAATGAGAAAACTGAGGCAGAAGGAGGTTAAGTGACTTGTCCAGGGTCACACACCTAATAACGGTCTGAGGCTAGATTTGAACTTAGGGCTTCCTGACTCCAGGTCTAGTGTTCTATCCACTGTGCCACCTACTTACTGCCACTGCTGCCACCACCACCACCACCACAATTATTACCTCTTCTTACATTTGCCATTCATATGCATGTGATCTCAGTGTTAAATCCTATGATACTAGTATACACTCATTTTTAAATGTGACTAAAACTGACGAGGTCCTGGGGATGCTGGGACCAAGAATGCCAAGGCAGAGTTGCCTGGAATGAATTCATACACCCAAGCCTTCTCTTAGTCAAGCGGCAAAAAGTTTATTATAATGCTTTAGCAAAAGTGGACAAGGGTCCTTAGGGAACCTTTGAGAGAGTAAGGATGGTGCTGGGCCTTATATGGAAAAGAGGCATGGGAAAGGAATGCCAGGGATGCTAATTAGGTAATCTAGGGGTCCAGGTGTCTTTGGGAGCTATGGATGGGAAAATATAGGGAGTATACTAGACATTGAGGCCATTGTCAGAGGCATGGACCTTGGGGATCTGGTGTGAGGGAGTGTCCTTGGGTCAGCCACGGACAAAAGTCCTGGCCCAGGCACCCCTCTGTCCTGGTAAAAGAATGTGTTCTGCAACAAGGGAAAATTTTCTCACAGGACAGGGGCTTACTGAGAAATTGGGAGGCTTCTAGAGACATGATCTTAGGGCTGGGGCCTGAACACCCCATCAAAACCACTCTGCTGCTGAGGTGCAATCTTACTCAGCTTAACACTTTTAGAGTGGCCTTGGAACTGTCATGGACCAGCTCTCCATTCTTCCATATCTGTTAAGGAATGTTAAGGGGTCCCCTGAACTTTTCACACAATGTCTCATGAACTTGTGATATCGTTTCTAGTTAACAAGTCTTAAGTGATAAAATTAGGTCATCTTGGATGTCAAAACATTTAATAACATGATCTTAAATGAAGAATTTTTACTAGTTCTAAAGAGTAATTTATTAAAAAGAACTTTTCATCCTATTTTACATATGGAAAAATGGAGGCATGAAGAAGTTAAATCAGATCAAGTTAAGTAAACAAGCAATTATTAAATGCTTACCATGTGCTAGGCACTGTGCTAAGTGAAGAGGATACAAAGAAAGACAAAAAACAGTCCTTGCTCTCAAGTACCTCAGTCTAAACGAGGACATAAAATGTAAACAAATATGTATAAAAAGATACATGCAGGATAAATTGGAGATAATCTCTGAGGGAAAGTGCGAAGATCAAGGAGTAACATGAAGGCCTTCTTACAGAAAGTCGAACTTGAAGCAAGCCAGGAAAGCTCAGAGGTAGAGACCAAGTAAGAAGTGGGGACAGAATCCTACAATCTATGTTAGAGCCTGAGTCACAAGAAGCAAAAGGGATCTTTTTAATCGAAATGAAGGCACAGTCTAAGACATAATGGGAAATTTAGATGCCCAAGTGCTAATTTTAAGTGCTATGAAGAAAATCAGTGATTGGATAAGGCATTAAGCATATACAAATAAAATAATTCTGTACCTGAAAAGATGAAGATGGTGCTGCTCTATGTTTGGCAGTGTAAGAAGAGAAGAATCACTCATCCATCGACCCTGGATTACCATCTGAATCAGACTGGTGATATTCAGGGCAGTTACCAACCAGCCTTGGTTTGCTGCAACATCCAACATTGCCTAGGAAAGGAAAATACGTACGTCATAAAAATCATATGACATCTTACTTTTGTGTCTAAACACAAGAACCTTTTAAATTTATTGCTGGCTTCTTTCTTTTTCACCGTGTCTCTGAATTATACTATAGGACCCAAGCTTCAAATTAGAGCCGCTCTCCCCTTTTTAAGATTTAACCTTACTTTTCTCAATGTGAAAAAGATAAGGTAAACAACATTATGATATGCTTCTTAGCTTGTAATAACTGACACTTTTAAACTTGCTCTATAATTGCCTTGTGTTTTAAAAATTAATGGGAAAAAAACCCCACAAACAACCAGATGCCAGGTAATAAAAGTCATTATGGCTTAGGTGGCATGTGATAGCTATCTTCAAAAATAGTCTGCAGGGCCCATCACCAGGGGAAATGGGGGAAGTTAAGGACGGAAAAACTTCCTAACAAAATGGAATGGGCTACTTCAGTAGATTTTCCCTCACTGGAGGTATTTAAACAAGAGCTGGATGACGGCTTGGCCGAGGATGTTGTGGAAGGAATTCTTATTTAGATATGGGTTGAGTATATGGTCTCTAAGGTTGCTTCCAATTCTGGGATTATGTGAAATACTTATGAAACACTGATTATGTGTGAGGCACTAATGTCTGTTCTTTTGAATGACACTAAAGAGGTGACATAAGGAATATTAAATAAAACATATAACAATGCTCAGTAGCGACATGGTACACTTTAAAAATGTACAGTATTTAGTACACTAATGGTTGTACATATTCTGTTGCTACGGAGACAATTCGGCTAGAATGGATTGATTAAAGTAAGAATCAATTAAAAAAAAAACCACTTACTCCTAGTTCAACATTAGGAAAACAATCAAGATAATTAATCATATCAAAAACCAAAACATACAAAAACTTATGATCATCTGAATAGATGAAGAAAAAGCCTTTGACAAAGTGAATCATTCTTTTATGCTAAAAACCCTACAAAGCATAGGCATAAAAGAACCTTTTAAAAAATGTCATAAAAAGCATCTATCTAAAACCAAAAGCAAGCATCATTATATGATGTGTATGCACTAAAACCTTTCCAAATAAATATGGAACTGAAAGCAAGGATGTCTACTCTGCCCACTATTATTTGATAAAGTTCTAGAAATGTTAGAAGCAGCAATAAGACAAGGCATAAGACAGGTAAGGAAGAGATAAAACCAAACCAATTTGATGATGATATGATGGTATTCTTAGAAAATCCTAGGGATTAAGCAAAGATACTGAGACAATTAATAGCTTCACTAAAGTTCTAGGTAACAAAATAAACTCAAATATCAATAGCATTTCTATTTAATAACAACAAAACCCAAGAAACAAAAATACAAAGGAAAATCCAATGCCAAATAACTAGAAAATGAATAAAACACCTGGGGATCGACCTGCTAAAACAAACAAAAGACTTGGATAGATTCAATTGTAAAGTTCTTCATAAAGAAATAAAGAACACATTAAGTAGCTGGATGAATATACAGTGCTCATGCCTATGCCATGTCATTATAATAAAAATGACAATATTTCCAAAGTTAATTTATACTTTTTAATGAAATATTATTGTACTATAATAAACTATATGATAAATATAGAGAAGCACAGAAAGATTTACAAAAACTGATGCAAAGTAAGCAGAACCAAGAAAATACACCAATAACTACAACAATGTAAATATAAAGAACAATTCACCAAAAAATCAAAAGTAAATAATAAAATTATAAAGATCAAGCATGACTTGAATGAAGAGATATGAGAAGACAGCCCCAACCTAACACTTTGTGAAGATCAGCGGTTCTCAATCACACATTACACATTCAGCATACATATTTTTTCAATGCATTCATCAGTTGCACTGATTTTTTACCCCCTTTAAAAAACACTATTAGTTATATGGGATAACTGGGGTAGAGGGAGAGGTAGAGCACAGAAAGCATACTGGGAATTACTATCAGTAATCAGTAAGAAGCAGAAGACATTACTAAAAAAAAAACTTGTTGGCTTTCAACAATAATATTTTGAAAAATAAATTATTTTTCATGAAATTTAAGCTCAAATTAAGAAACAAAAACATTTTTAAAGAGTAATCTTGGGGGCACCTAAGTGGCACGGTGGTTAGAGCGCTGGCCCTGGAATCAGGAGGACCTGAGTTCAAATCCAGCCTCAGACACTTGACACTTACTAGCTGTGTTACCCTGGGCAAGTCATTTAACCCCATTGCCTAGCCTCCCCCCCCCCCCCCCCAAAAAAATCTTGGTAGTCTTTTAAACTTAATATTAATAATAGTAAGAAGATAAAAACTTTTAGGTTCCCCCCAGAAAACATATCTCTATTTTTTCAGTGTAAATGACATTGTTCATGATCTCAAAAAAGTACAAACCTGTAATACTTCTAACTCATTTTATATGCTACTAGTGGAAGGATGAGAAACTACGCATTAGTCTATACATTTAATCAAATGTTTTATGGACAAACAAAAGGCTGCATTTACTTAAGGCAAAACTAAACAATGAAATCTTCTTTAAACAAAAGAATTGTTTATACAGGCAAATCCATTTCAATTAAATTAGTCTGATTCTGGAGAGATGCCGCCATAAAGACATATGAGTTAGTATGAGTCATGGTTAGACACCCATATTACATTAGTAGCCTACAATGTGATTTTAATAGATTTGGGGCATTCAGAGTTGAGAGCAGCAGGGATTAGAAGTATCTAGTAAATACTTAAAATGTCATTTTAATTGCAATCGTTTCATCTATTCATGAACATGTTACTAAAATGCACATTTGTATTAACGTGTCTGGAAAAAGAATTTTAGAAATGCTTTTCTGGTAGTTTAAAATTAATTGCTGTACAAATGTAACTACTATATGACAGTATTTCTGTCCTTCTGAACTATCTTTGGTAAATAATTACCAAATCATTTATTTTAATTTTTCTTTTTCGTTTCCTTCCAATTAAAGAAGTACATCATAATCCACTGAAAATAATTTTGCATGATCTTTACTTTCTCAGAAAATGGTCAAATCTATAATCGCCACGTTATGTTGTACACAATAGAAGAATGGCTTCAAAAAGCCATTTACTTTTCATAAAAACTATCCACCTGTGTGGTCTTCTTTCACAGCCATATAGTAGAATGGACTGATGTTTCTTGGTTTCGGCTTATTGAATAGCAATGTAGAAAATCTTTGCTGACTAGCAAGGCAATGATTTTACAGTTCTGCTTGTATTACAGCCTATAGGAAGGCATTCCTCTAAATATAATGGAAATATATATGTTTTAAAATCTAGGGATAAGTCAAATCTTATATTCCTCTCGTACCCCTGCTGAGTTGATTGAAATCCATCAGTTTTCTATGAAGCAAATGGAATGAATCAAGGCAAACTCATACCCATGATGAGTAGGACCATATCCTATTCATACAAATCTGCTAGACAATGCTAAAGTAAGAGAAAGGGAGGGGATAAATGAGTAATTAGACCCAAAATGAAGCATCATTATTTATAAAATTGTAGTCTAAAGTAATTTTAGTGATCTCAGTTTTGATGCTGCATTATAATTTGGTTGGAAATTGTGCCATACTGACAGCTTGCATACAAGCAGAGTTGGCTAAAACATCTGTTTTTAACTTTGAAGTTTTCCTGATGAAGCTGAAAGTTTTCACAAAATTTATGGCATTTCTCAATAATTTTCCCTAGTAAGATCCAGATGTGAGACAGCAAGAAATAATGCTAAGTAACTGCTTACATGAAGTAAATGAAATCAAAAGGCACAGAATGATTTGGAAACTTTTAACTTTCTTTCCTTTTCACAAAAAGAAAGACCAAGAATTTATGGAGACAAGAGCATAGTGTACATGTCGAGGGAAGTAATGGGAGATAAGGTTGGGGGTCAGATCACACTGAGCCTTCATTTTCAAGCTAGAGTCTAGCTTGTCATCAGTGGATGACAAAGAATCACGAAATTTTTGTGCAAAGGAATAGTTAAGTAACAAGAGGCTACACTAAGAATAGCTAGCTTGCAGTAAGTGTCAGAGGTGGGATTTGAATTCAGATCTTCCTGACTCCAAGTCTGACTTTCCAGTGAGCCACCTAGCTAGCTATCTAACTTAATTTGCCAAGTGGTATGTAGGATGGTTGCAAGGATGGTGAGACAAAGTGGGAGAAACCAAGTCATTTACTCATACTTATTAAGTGACTATTATGTGCAAAGCATGGTGTGCTAGATACTGTTAAAATACTATTTTAGTTGGGGCAGCTAGGTGGCACAGTAGACACAGCACCTGCCCTGGAGTAGGGAGGACCTAAGTTCAAATTTGACCTCAGACACATCACCAGCTGTGTGACTCTGGGCAAGTCACTTAACCCTAACTGCCTCACCAAACAAACAAACAAACAAAACCCAAAACAAACACACACACACACCCCAAAACAAACAAAAAAACTATTATAGTAGTCCAGGTGAAAAGTAATGAGCAACTGGATCGTGGTGGTAGCAGGGAACGAATGAGAAACATGTAGGGAGAACTGACAGAACTTGGTAACTGACTGGATATAGATAAGCAAAGGAGTGAAAGGTAGTTCCCAGGTTTTGACCTCAGATTACTGGGAAGATGGTGGTGCCATTAAAAGAAACAGAGTGCGAGATCTAGAACCAGAGGAACCTGGGTTCAAGTCTTGGTTCTGTCACTTGGTCCTTCACTTCATCTCCCTGTGCACAGTTTCCTAATCTAGAAAATGAGGACTAGGTCCTTTTCAACTTTAAATCTGTGATCTTATGTTCCTAATTGGTCTGCTTCCTCTTCTATGAGCTAACAAATTCATATTCCTAAAATAGTGGTCTGACTATGTGACTGTCAATTTCAGTGGCTTCAGCTTCTAGTATCAAATATAGCCCAGTTTTTAAAGTCCCCTATAATCTGGCTCCAATCTGCTTTTCTAGGCTTATTTCATATTAATTCCCTTC